TAGAAAGGGTGAGTCTCATTTTTAATAAAGCTACTGGTATATTATAACCACATTATTTTCTTCCTAGAAAAGAAATATTCTGATTTTGTTTTAGGCTACAGTAACTGGAAAGAAACCTTATTTTTAAAACATACTCTTTTTAAACAATAGAACCATTATCTTAAAGGCACTTCAATTTCTATGAACAATTTTATCCACAACCTAATTACTTATTAATCCTAAAAACAATTCCTTAATCTCTTTGGCAACTTCTTAAACTGGAAATATTTCTGGTTTTTCCTTTCTACATTTCAATATTACCTTTGTCACTCTAAGTTTATAATGGTAACTGTCTTATAACCTTGCTTTTTCTTGTCCCCACAGAGCATCTTCAGGAATTCAGGCATTTTAAAAAACTCCTATCTTTCTACTCAGCCTATTCTTTTGTCATACCTTAGCCCATAATATGGTTTAAAAAGCATAGCTTTAGCAAATTTTAATAATACTGGCAAATTTATAATATTTTATTATCTATTAAATAAACTAAGGAAAAACTACTTTAGATCCCCATAACTAAAAACTGTGTGTAGTAGTAAATATTTTAGCAAACATTTTGTTACTAGTTAATTCAGAATAAAAAATCTTAAGCTGTATTATAATTCAGTGTTTTAAATTTACATGTCACATATCATGTATCAGCTAAAAATGGTCAAATAACATAACCTGTACAAATGGTAAACATTTTGATAAAATGTAAGACAGAAGTGTCCTACTTACAGAAAAGAACCATTATATCTAATAAAAACTAAATAGGCAATGTGGAACTCTATGATGTACACAAATGTACACAAGTGTACAAACAGTTAAATTTTAGTTAATTTAAATTGTATGTGCTCCAAGGTAATACTAACTTGCATTAAAGAATTAAAGGAAGAAATCAAGGCTTTAAAGATTTAGAAGGAAACAGAGGCTACAGCTCACACACATCAAGTAAGACTTTCTTTTCTTTCTTTTTTTTTTTTTTTTTTTTTTTTTTTTTGAGAAAGAGTCTCGCTCCATCGCCCACGCTGGAGGTGCAGTGGCACAATCTCGGCTCACTGCAACCTACGCTTCCCGGGTTCAAGCAATTCTCCTGCCTCAGCCTCCCGAGTAGCTGGGACTATAGGCATGTGCCACCACACCTGGCTAATTGTTGTTTTGTTGCTGCTGTTTTTGTATTTTTAGTAGAGATGGGGTTTCACTGTGTTAGCCAGGATGGTCTTGATTTCCTCACTTCGTGATCCGCCCGCCTCAGCCTCTCAAAGTGCTGGGATTACAGGCCTGAGCCACCACACCCGGCCAAGACTCTCTCAGAATCTGTCCTTGACAAGGATCATTCCATCCCCAAGTGTCTCAAAGAAAGGTAGTACTTTCACTTTCTTAGGCTACAACACCAACCCCTGGTGTTTCTTTCAAATTCTTTCTTTCTCAATCATCCATAAAGCATGAAAGCCAATTATGCAGAGCAGTGCTTTTCAACTCTTCTCTCCTCAGGCACATATACAACAATAACATAAGGCAGTCTGGAGGCCCCAGACACTCATGGCACGCAGGTTGGAAAGCTCCAATTTAGAGTATCAAAGGATAAGCCAGGAAATAAACACCACCTTTTGTGGGCATCATAAAGATGCTTTATAGGTAAGCAACATAGGATCACTGAGTGAGTGAATGAATAAACACTGACCCAGTTACACAAAATGATGTCTTCTTGAACAAGTCCCAGGCAGCCTGCTCTTTATTTGTGCCCTCTTTCCTAAAAAAATAAAATAAAATAAAATAAAAAATAAAAATAATAAAAATAAAAGAGTAAAGTATATAACCTTCTGGGAATTGTAACAAGGCTTATTTTTAGTACCTGTAATTGTAAATCAACGGCTGGAAAAGTTTTCTGTGAAAGTGGTTCTCTCATAACTGACAAGGGCCATCTTCTTCACTATTGTTATCAGTATTCTGACTTATAAACACTCATTAAAATATTGTATTTATTAGCCTCATGAGTGGTCATATACTCCTCTTCTCAATATTTATTCTTTCCTCAAGGGCATGAAATTACATATGGGATATATGAGGGCCAAGAATCTCACTTCTAGAATTCATCTAAGGTAGAGGATTCTAAGATGTGATCCACAGGCAAAATGGTTACAGAACAGTTTTCAGCAACTATCTTTCACATAACTATCACATCAGAACTACTACTAAAGTGCACTGTTTATTCACTGAGAAGGCTTTTAAAGGAAAGCTACCATTAATCTGAGAGGAACCCTGTAGAATTACAGACTGCTCAGTAATCACAGTACTTCTTTAAAAAAAAAAATCAAGAAACTAGAACTCAGGAAAATGGACTAAAATAAAAGCAATGAATAACCAATGAATAAAACCAATGAATATAGAAATGAACATTAGTGACCTCAAAATGCAGTGATATTGGAAACTAATGTATGTATATGTCAATTCTACTACTGGGCTTTTCAGAAGTAGTCCTGATCAGAGTGTATTACCCAGCAGAGGGTGGAAATTAATCTTATTTCAATATCACTGTCTCATTTGTCTTGAGATTTTACAAGACTTTGCTATTTTCAATTTACAGTCATGAGCTGCTGCCTCTGCCTTTGATCACACAAGTCCCCAAAACCTAGAACGCTATACTATAGTTAATCCCTCTAAGAAATATGACAACTTTCTGACTGAAAGCAATTTTTCCTTTATGGCTACACTGAGAGATGTTTCTTATCCCCATTTCACAAGTAACAAGCTTCCTCAAAGAAAAATGGTTACGTGAAACAACAAGTGTTCTGATTCGGTACTTCTAGCAAAATAATCTATTTTCTTATTAGTCTATCAATATTCTATACCCAGGGACTAGAGTAAGTCCTCTTGATTTTTAAGCTCTGTCATAGGGAATAAAAGTTTGTGTTCTTTCTGAATCTCAGGTTTATTTTCACTAGCTTTATATTAAAGCCACACTCTGAACAATCACCCAATCCATCAATCTGAGCAGGCTCATACTTAGTTATGCAGATTTGGTCCCTTATTATCCCAAACTGCCCATTTCTACTATATCCAGTATTCTGTTTCACTGAGTTTTTTCTATTTCACATCTAGGTCATCCTTCCTTGTTCTTATAATTTTTCGAGCAAGCATTTTTCTCTCTTACTCCACATTTTACTTTCTATTACTTTGTGTTCTTAAGAAAAAGTTTATCTGGAAAAAAATGCCTTAGATTTTCACCATTTTACTCAGTTTCTAACATAGACAATTTCTCCAACAGTATTCCCCAGTTACTATTAGCTCAGACCAGAAGCATTACACCATCATAGGTGCCTTCAGAAGCATTACACAATCATAGGTGCCTTCTTAGATGTCTCCAGGCTTAAAAAAGCATTAATATGCCAGATCCTATTTTATCCAAGGCCAGGCCACCTTTAAAAATTTAAACTTTTTAAAAGATGACATATGCATCATATTTCACTTTTGACTTCAACCAGGGTTCTCTACTTAAACATATTCTGGCTGAGACACATTATACAATATGCAGCATGGGTGAATCATAAACTCATAAAACATTAGTGTAAGAAGGCTTTCAAGATGATTTAGGATAACTCTCCCTTTAACTGGGGAAGAAATTGGGGCACTGAAAGTTAAGCACTTTCTGAATTACTACGATGATTCAGTGGTAAAAAAAAAAAAAAAAAAAAAAAAATGAAGAAACCTAGCCCCCAAACTGAAAGTAAGTCATATTCAAGTGTTCATGCATGGAAGAATTATTTGGAGCTCAAAACATAATAACCAAGATGCTAAATAAACAGATCCACAAATATATATTTAAAGGGAATTCTTGTTATTTTCAAGGTTCTATTTTGGCACTTTATTTTTATTTTGCTTCTAAGTGTATGCTCTTTTTTTTTTTGAGACAGAGTCTCGCTCTGTCGCCCAGGCTGGAGTGCAGTGGGGTGATCTCGGCTTACTGCAAGCTCCGCCTCCAGGGTTCACGCCATTCTCCTGCCTCAGCCTCCCGACTAGCTGGGAATACAGTAGCCCGCCATCATGCCTGGCTAATTTTTTGTATTTTTAGTAGAGATGGGGTTTCACCGTGATAGCCAGGATGGTCTCGATCTCCTGACCTCGTGATCCGCCCGCCTCGGCCTCCTAAAGTGCTGGGATTACAGGCGTGAGCCACTGCACGCGGCCACTCTTCTTTTTCTTGATACAGAAATGACACTAACATTACTCAGTTTTTCAGATGTAATCAGTTGTTTCTGGTCCACAAATGAAACAAAGAAAGTGAAGGAGCTTTCCATACTAATTAAAAGAGAGCAAATAACATTATCAAAGGTTAAACTGATATTTTAAAATGTATACAAGTAAGAAACCACACCTCTGCACAGAAGACAATAGTGTTAAAAATTAGGCTAGCCACCAAGTAGTCTTACGAGCCTAGAAAATAAGGGAATTAATAAGGGAATCATCTGGGCTATGTTCGAATAAAACTTAATTTGTGGATACTGAAATGTGAATTTCATATAATTCTTATGTTACACAAAATTATTATTTTTTAATTTTTTCCAACCATGTAAAAATATAAAAATCATTATTAGCTCACAGACCATATAAAAACAACTGGTGGGCTTGCATTTGGCTTATGGATTACAGTTTGCCAATCTCTAGTCTAGGGAATAGCAGAGAGAAGGGAAGACAGGACGTAATCGGATTAATAACTAGGGAGACTATTTATTAACTTCTGCATTAAACCTAAATGGAAAAGCAGCAACCCCAACCCCCAACAAGTATGCATCAATGTCAGTCTCAGTTTGAAAAAAAAATGTTGTACTTCACAGTCTTTATCACAGAAACAGCTCCAGAAACAATCATTGATTCATAGGTGAAAAAAATCTCACAACAGTATACTAATCATAATTTTAAACAGATAATTCGTTTTTGTAGAAGTATCCTAAAATTATAGTATTAGATACATGATTCATTACCATTTTGTCCCTGAGTCGCTCTCCACGGATAAAAAAGTCAGCACAGCCATTCTCTTCCTGATGAGGGACTCTGAAGACAGTGACGCTGCTTAGTCCACTCCCTCCAAGTGGTAACCATCCACCACTTGAGTCATCTCGGGTCATCACCACAGCTCGCACTCGTGCATAACTATTACTAAAATAGATGCAAAGATCAGGAATTAGCTTTTCCATAAACAAAAAACAGCCAAGCCATCAGTCTTGTTTGAGAAACCAAAGACCACATTAGTTAATATGTGGTGACTAAGGTGTTTACTACTTCCATGAAAATCCACAGAAAGTAACCTACTTGAAAAAGGTCAAAAACCACAAACAGACTTTAAAGGTTGTCCTTCATTTTGAAGACTAATCTCGTAATAAAAGACTATAAAACTACTACTTCAATTCATCATTTCAGTAGTTCCAGCACATCTTATTACCATGGAACAAGTTGTGAAGGATCCCAAAGACAACTACTGTCAAACTACACAGGCTACCATAAAACTTGTCTACATATGTCCATTTGCTACAATATTATAACCAGGACAAACTGCTGTATTTCAGCACATTCAACCGTAGCATCTAGAAGTTCCTAACAGTTCCAGAATATATTATAAATAAAATGCTGAAACAAACATGCTTAGTTTAGATGCTACATTTTTAATTTCTTCTACCAACTGGGAATCTCAATCACTTACACAAATCATATAAAGAAAAGTGTTCTGCTTAAATTACTTAACAAGCAAATTGGTCCGTAGAAACTATAAGAAATAAATTTCTGTTATTAGCTAACCAGTTTATGACATTTTTCTATAGCAGTCCAAAGACAGTAAGACACATGTGTAATCAACATGATAATCAAAATACAGACCATTTTCATCACTCCAAAACCCTTATGCCAAACACAGAGATTTTGCCTGTTTGGGACCTTCAAATAAATGGAATCAAACAGAGTCACCATTTGTACCCTTTTTATCTGACTTCCTTCTCTCATGTTGTTTTGTGTATCAGAAGTTCATTTCTTTTAACTAAGTAGTCCTCTAATTAAATAAATCATAATTTATTCTTTCTTATATGGATAGGTATTTGGATTTTTCTAGTTGTTGGCAATTATGAATAAAGCTGTTATAAACATTCTTGTAAGTCTTTTTGTAGACATTTTTTCATTTCTCAAATAATTACCTAGGAGTGGAATAGGTCACAGGATAGGTACATGTGTATCTATACAAGACACTATCTTCCAAAGTGGTTGTACTGTTATACATTCCCATCAATAATGTATGACAGTTTCAGATTCACCATATCCCTGCCAATACGGTGTTTTCAGTCTTAACTTTACTCATTGTATTGAGTATATAGTGGTATCATACAGCGTTTTTAATTTATATTTCCATAATGACTCATGATGTTGAACATCTTTTCATGTGCTTTCTGGCCATTTGTTTATCTTGTTTTTACGTCTGTGACCATTTTTTATTACACTATCTTTATTATTATTTTTAGAAGTGTTTTTAAAAATATATTCTGGACATAAGTATTTTTCAGAGAATATACTTTTAAAGTTGCACTGGGTTGTGGTTAAGAGTGAGAATTCTAGAGTCAAACTTCCACAAGTTGGATCTTGGCTTAGAAACTTACTATCTGTATGACTTTGAGAAAGGTGCTAAACCTCTGTGCCTCAATCTTACGTGTGAAATAACAGCACTCACTTACAATAAATGTAAACCATGCCTGACACATAACAAACACTATATGAGTATTACTTTTTATTATCATTATGACAACAAAGCATTGAAAATTGAAGACACTGCCATCCTGGTAATTCAAAATCAGATAGGATCTGGAAAATAATTGAATTTTCATGATGAACCATAATTATCTATTATTGGGGTCAAAATAACTATATAGAAACTCCAAAAGGTTTTGGCTTCACAATTTACTCTTTTGTGGAAGCTTTTTATTATTTAGTTATTCAGAGGCTCTGATTCTTATCTGGACCCAATTCTTGCCAATCTTCAACTCAGAGAAATGGTCAGAGAAGTGTGGGTGCATAAAGGCTGGGTCGATGTAGATATTAAATCCTCCTGAGATGGGCTGGAGCAAACTCCACCACTATAACCACAACATGCATCTTAAAAGGCAGTGGGAGCAGACTACATAATAACCACATTTGTGGGCTAGCTTCCATTCTAAAGCAAATTAAGAGAATCTTATAAGATGTTCCTTCTTTATTAAAAACCTACACTGTAACTCAATTTCTAATCTCTGATCATATTTGAACAGTAATTTCAAATATATCCTTTCATACACAGCAGGAAAACTAAACTACTGTCTTGTACGTTTTGTGCTGCTTTAACAGAATACCAGACTGGGTAAATGATAAAGAGAAATTTATTTCTCACAGTTCCAGAGACTTGGAAGTCCAAGATCAAGGCATCAGTAGGTTCATTGTCTGGAAAGAGGTCAGTCTCCTCTTCCAAGATGGTGCACTCTGGAGGGGAGGAATGCTGTGTCCTTACATGGCAGAAGGTGGACAGGCAAAAAGGGATGAGCACCCTCAGTTCTTTTATTAGGATATTCATCCATTCATGAAGGTAGAACTCTTACTTTCATGATGGTAGGTGCTAAACACCTCCCAAAAGGCCGCACCTCCTAATACTGTTGCATTGGAGTTTAAATTTCAACATAAATTTGTGGGGGCAAAAACATTAAATCCATAGCAACTACTAATGTAGAAATCCAGGTGAGAGGTAATATTGAATGGAACTAGGATGATAACAATGGACACGAAGAGGAATAGAGAGATTTGGGTATATTTTGGAGGTAGAACCAAGAGAACTTGCTGATAAGATTTTAACTACAAAACAAGTAAAGTGTTGCAAATCATCTAAAATTCTTAGTGGCATCCATGAGCTTCATTTCCTAAAATTTTCAGCTGGTATTTCAATAAAGTCAGAAGCAAAAGGTGACCAAACACGAAGACAAATTTTGCCTCAGTTGTACTGAACCATGTAGTTTTGAAATGACAGTACTATATTACACATGAACCAGAAAAACTCTAAAGCTATACTTTATTGCACTTTGTGGATAAATGTATGGCAGCAATTTCAAATTTATATATTGGCAAAATATTTCTTAACAATCAAATTAAGAGTACAGTTGCTGAAAGTTTTACTAGCCCTAGAAGTTTTAACTGTCTGAAACACAAAGTGTCCTTCACCTAAAGTGACCTGCTTTTTTAGTTTCTTTTCTCCCTTACAGAACCATCTTGCTTTATGATTACCAAGCCTATTATATACCCCACCCAACTACTAGACAAGTAGAAGGCTCAAGGAAGACACAGTCTGGAGATGTGAGATTTTATCATATGTTTTTTGCTTGTTTTATGTGTCCATTATAAGGAAACACCAGGCTTAAAACACTTAAAGTGTTTGATAGTCAAGCTCCTTAGAGAACGAACCTAAAGGCTCTAACCATACATTGGGACATTTCTTGGAACACAGAATACGTGCACGGTTTTAATACTGATTCCCATTCTTCCCATTTCCTGGTCACAACCAAAAGTTCCCAACTCTTCCTTTTCTTTCCACCAAGAAGGCAGAAACTGACCATAATATTGTACTCTAGACTCATACATACTAATGTATGTGTGAAATTTTTTTGTGATTTTTTTTAGCTCATTGGTTAACACATGTATAAGTCTACAATACAATATTATGCAAGTTTTTGTAACATTTTTACAAGCTTATAATACTTATATTAACCAGATATTCAATTATTAGGTAAAATAATTGTGCATGATGTTCATAAATTAAAATTCTATCTATCCCCATCCCTCTTATTGTTATCAGTTAATATGTTACACATAATATGTATTCAACTTAATAACAGGAAAACAAAGTTAACAAGCACTGTAGCACAATATTGACTCCGATGGAATTCTCATTGATTTTACATTGGTTTCATTTTCTAAATACAATTCTGTGTTGCATAATGTTTCCATCAACAATGGACCCCATATACAACAGTCCCATAAGATTACAATACCGTATCTTTATTGTACCTTTCTGACATATAGGTACACAAATACTTACCATTGTGCTAAAACTGACTACAGTTTTCAGTACAATAACATCCCGCACAGCAAGCCTGTCCAACCTGTGGCCCAGGATGGCTTTGAATGAGGTCCAACACAAATTCATACATTTCTTAAAACATTATGAAATTTTTGTGTGATTTTTTTTAAAGCTCATCAGCTATCGTGTTAGTGTATTTTCCCATCTAGGTTTGTGTAGGTACACTCTATGATGTTTGTGTGCACAATGATGAAATACCCCAACAATGTATTTCTCAGAGCACATACCTATTGCAAAACACACGCCTATTTTACTTAGCATACTTTTATTCTCTTGAAAGTACGTACAATAATTTTACGATTTACTTGACAGAAGATGCTGTAATTCCACTCAACTGGCACTCAAATAACTAATGTGCAAGGAAATGTTATCTTGATGAATCCAAAATTCATAGAGCCTATAAATCTGTAGCAAAGCAATTTTTCCCTTTACACCAAAGATTAATTTTGTGAACCTCCTGGAAAGGATTATGAATCCCCAAAATTATAATCAAATGTGAGTTGTTTTTTTTTTTTTTTTTTTTTTTTTTTGGCCACATATGCATTTTCTTCAGGGGAGATAGTATATAGCTTTAATCACAATAGCATCTATGATCACCCTGGCCCACCAATTTAGGAACCATTGCTATACACACAAAATGACTAGCAGTACAGCTCTGGCTCTTACTCAGATCAGTTTCCTAAATTTGGATACATTTATAATAGCTGGCTGGCCATCTATATTGTTTTGGTTGACTATTCTTAAGCTTAACATTTCTAAAATAAATTGTTTGTCTTTCTGTTCTCTCTATACCTTTCTTTTCTATTATAATACATACCCAAGCAATACCCTGATATTAGCCCAGTGAGACCTATTTGTATTTCTGACCTCCAGGCTAAAATATAATAAATTTCTGTTGTTTTAAGTCACTAAGTTTATGGTAATTTGCCTACAGCAGCAACAGGAAACTAATATAAAGGACGGAACACCTTCTTGAATATATAGTAATACATATACAGGAGAAAAAGATAACTTTTTCCAT